CATAATCTAAATGTTGACCTAAACTGAAAATCAGCCGATCCGATAGATTCGACCCGATATTAATATGACATGAAATCTAAAATATCTTATATAGACCCGACCCAAAAATTGACCTAACCCGATACCGTCCCAATCTGATTTACGTACACCCGAACTAGATCGAACCAGATCTGATCTGACCCGAACAAAATTAAATTGAATATAATCTACACTCGAAATAACCTGACCACCCAAACCTAATCCGAATGACCCGTTTTCTACCTCTAGTCATAATCTTGATAATATGAAGTATATGTTCACCTGCCATTATTAAGGTTGTAAACGAGTCGAGCTTGAGTATTGTTGAGCTCGACTCGACTCGAACTCGCGAGCCTAAAATTTTCAAGCTTGACTCGAACTCGAAATCATGAACTGAAGCTCGTAAAAGCTCGAAAAGGCTCAAAAATAAAAAAAATCTAAACTTAACTTTGTTGAAGCCTCAAACTCAAGCTCGAACTGAACCTTAAATACATGAAAACATTATACTTCATTTTTTAAATCAACAAATAAATGTTAGTATTATTAATAATTTATTTTTAAAAAATAAAATCTTAATCTAATATATTTTCGAGCTGCTCACGAGTTTTTTGAGTTGAGTATCAAGTAGCTCGTTTCGACTCATTAAGAACTCGAGTTGAGTCCATTCGAGTCGAGCTCGAGTCGAGTCCATTTGAGTCGAGTATTATCGAGCTTTGACTGAGTCGATATCGAGTAGCTCGCAATCTGTCTCGTCTCATTTACAGCCCTAGCCATTGTAATCTCTATTTAAAAGTTATTTTAATTGAATATAATAAAAGAGAGGTTTTATTCTTTTATTTTACTTTAAAAAAATAATAAATTAATAAATTAAGTTTCCTCTAAAATTTCAATTTTATATTCTAAAATTTTAATTTAAATATAAAATTGAAATTTTAATTTAATTATAAAATTTACAACTGAATATAAAAATATAAAGAAAAATTATATAACTTATAATTAAGACAAAATTAAGACATAATTACATGTAAGATATAATTTATCAAGAATTAAATAACTTATAATTATCATTATGTTGAGTCAATCAAACCAATGAAATAGCCAAGAAATGATGAATCAAAGATTAAAAATTTGGTGGCAGCTAAGAGAAAAATAAAATGATAGAACAGAATAATTTTAGAATGGTTCAACTTTCTCAATAAAGTTTATAACCACTACCTTAGCTTCCATACTAAGGATTTCAATAAATTCACTAATTTGTTCAAACCTTTAAGACAATGTATAACCTCACAACACACTTAGACTTATATCCAAAGTCACAAGTGTACAACCCTTCCTAAAAAAAACTTACAAATAACAAACTTTGAAAAATCTCTTACAACGAGTGTGTTTGCATAATTCAAAACAAATAAAACACTTGAGAGAATAAAATAAAAATGTATAGAAATGTTCTTGAAAGGAAAAAGAATATTTGAGAATGTTAACTTTGATTTTGGTTCTATTTGATGGTTTTGTCTTTCTTTTGTGATCTATTGTCTTTACATATGACTTGGAATCTTGTTTTTATACCCTTTCATTCAATTCTAGTCGTTCAAGTAATTATGTGAGTTAATAGAGCCATTGAGGATGGAGTTTCCAATAATAAATCTACCAGACGCCTCGAGTATAGATACTCGTGCTTGGAGTATCAATACTACATGCATTACAAAAATAGACATCGGGTAATAAGGGGTATCGATACTACTCAATAGGTTATTGATACTACTATAATAAGTAGTTTTGATACTCGTGAGTACTAGTACTAAAATTGCTTACTAGAATTTGACATTTTTCTAAAACATAAGAGCAGTATTAGTGCTATTATTTGGCGTATCGATACTACTGTCATAACTAGCATCGGTACAAATTTTATATATTGAATTTGCAAAACTAAAGGAGCATTGGTAGTACCTTGAGCAGTATCGGTACTACCTCAAGCAGTACTGATACTACTGTGCATTTTTAAAGCATTAGCATCGTACTATATTAATACCACATGAATAGTATCATACTTTTCTTGCAGTATTTGAATTGGTAGGCTTAAAAATAATTTTTTGACTCAATTAAAGTCCAAAAGCCTTAGAAAAAATAGTTTCAAAATTATTTTCAATATATGACTCAGCGTAAAGTTGAGATTTTGAACTTAAAAAGAATTTATATATTTGAATATTTTAATCGAGTATAATCTTAATTTCTTTTAAAAATTTATTATTTTTAATATATCAAAATATCAAAGTATGTTTCAACAATCTCCCCTTTTTGATATAACAAAATCTTTGAAAAATTTTAAATTATTTTAAAAAAAATACTCTCCATTACTTTAACATGTCTCTCCCTTTTTATTAAATAAAAAAGTTAAAATACTAAGCAAGATATGCATATAAGTTGTGAAGACCAAAATTTTCAAATAAGGTTAGTCAACATTAAAAATACCCTCAAATAAAACATGGTCATAATAAAGAAATAAACATGTATTAACATCTAAAATATCCAAATATCCATAAAATGCATAGATATTCATAAAACATCCAAAATCATCCAAAAGTATAAATAAAATTAAGGTATGTGAAAGCAAAAATATCAAAACATCCAAAAAAATCCCATATATCAAACATCCAAATATCAAGCATCAAATAGAGAAGAAGGAGGATCTGAAGATGAAACAATAAATGATGTGAAATCACGAGCGAGATTAACCACTCTACCCGAAATCGTGTCAATATTATCCATCATATTATCGAATCGAACATGGATACAACATCCATATTCTATGTACATCGCTTGCAGTGCTAACTGTTGAAGCCATCCCAAAAACATGAGTCTCTAGTGCAGTGAAGTAAGACTCCATAGTCGCAAACCTCTTGTCAAGAGTCTCCATTAACATCTGAAAATACGGAGGCATCACAATGACATCATCACCACTCACTACAACAAATTTAACAATTTATGACATAATTTCTATATGACGTTGCGTATAACTTCGCAAAATATACTATAAAAGTGACATTTTTTTGTTTTCGTCACATTTAGTAATTAATGGTATATCTTTTTTGACAATTGTAAAAATGGTCATTGATTTTCGTCACTATATGTTTGACGCCAAAATTTCCCTCCAAAAAATTTGGTGGGAAACTTGTCAATGACGTTTAGATAAAATTGTGTCGTTGTAAAATCGTCTCCAATGAAACGAAAGTATTAATGACGATTTATTATAATGATGTTTCGATTTGAATTACTGACATTCCAAATTGTTACCAATAAATTTTATTTGTGATAATTTGATTCGTCATAATTTATATGAAATAAAAAATGACGCTTTATTCTTCTCACAAAATAAAAATTTTATTGATGAAAATTTTTAAAATAATCTTAGATTTTAGACTTATAATTTCAATCGTTCCTATTAATTTTCTCAAAGTTATGTTCTCTATAAATATTATATATATATATAAGAATTATTTATTTATATATATATTTGAAGGGTCAAAAAAACCCTAACAATGTAAAATAAAATTATTTCAATACTTAAAATTTTTTTGCACCCAAGTAAGCCTTTGCATTAAGAAATTAAACCAATTAAGCCATCAAACTATAAATTTATTAACCTTTTTAGGTTATTTGTCATGTGGCATCGTCAAAGGGAATTACATGTCAAACTTTAGGGATGAATTTCTAGATTTTTTAAAAATTTAATTTAATTTTTTTAAAAATACAAAATTATGGAAATATTTTAAAATGTAAAAATGTAAAAAAATATATTTATTTTTAGATAAATTTTAAAATTTATTTTTAAAAAAATACTAAATATTATTAAAATTATAATAAATATTAAAAAACTAAAAAGTATAATTTTTTTTAAATATTTAATAATTATATTAAAATATTAATTTATTTTTTAAAACTCCGAAATTTATTCAAAAATTAAAAATACTTTTAAAATAATAAAAAAATATTTGTTTAATATTAAATATACATAATTACATTAAAAATTATAAAATCTTAAAATATTATTTTAAAATATTAAATATTATTTAAAAATTAAAATATGTAGAAAATATAAAATTTAAAAATTATTAAAAAATCTAAAAAAACTCTAAAATTTCTTAAGAGAATATAGTTGGAGTCTTAGTTACTATGATATGTTATAAATATTTTTCAATCAATTTACATGATTACAATTATATTATAATTTGGGGTCTTAAGTGTGACTAAAAATATTTTTTAAATATAAATTATTAAAAATATAAAAATATTAAAACTTTATTAAAATTACTCTTATGAGATGAATTGTTTTGTTACGATATAATAAATCCTTCTTGTAAGAATTATTACCTTATATTGACAAAGGTTCCCTTAGTGAATAAGCACTAACATAGTGCAGTAGATCTCCCGTTCGAAACCTTGACTATATATTTTTAGATATTTTATTTTTTAAATTTTATATAATTTTTAAATGAATGCAATATTTTATTTTTTTTTCAAATTTTATAGAAATAATTAAGATTTCTTTTTAATTTTATAAAAATTAAAAAAATGTCATATTTTTATATTTAATAATTTTAATATTATTTAATATTTTAAATTAATTTTAAAATTTTTAGAAACCTTAATAGGGCTGAAAATAAAATGTTGAGGATTGAGATGATGATAATACTAATAACTAATAATATAATAATAATAATAATAATAATAATAATTCCATCAAAATTGGCGTTAGAAGTACAATCATGATAATTTGGGAGTTAAGTGTGCTTATAATACTTGGAGTTAAACGTGAGAAACATAAAATTTAAGGACTAAATTATAAAAACTTAAATCTAGTGGTTGAAAATGAAAATTATGAAAAGTTAACCCTAAAGAATTTGATGGCCTACCTTGCAGTTAACCCTACGTATTATTCCTGATGATAAAGATAGTGTTTTCGCTATTTTTCTCACATTTGTTATCTTCTGTTCAAGGGATTGGGAGGCAGTCAGAGAAGAAGCTATAGTCCTCATCGTCGTAGCCAGATTCAAACACGTGCAAGAAAGAGGTACGTCAATGAACCTCGTGATCACCACCGATCTCATCGTCACTGATTCCCTCTACTTTTTGATTTTCTCATTCGCAATCTCCCTATCGATGCTAGCCCGAAAGATCTTAGGGTTTCTTTGAATGGTATGGTTCGGTGAAGGAATTTTATCTGCCGAAAGAAAAATTATTACTCAGGGCACGCCATTGATTTGTCCTTTATTCATATGCCTATGTTTGTTCTGGTTGTTTCTTTGTTGACGATTGTAGGGTACTTTGAATAGAGCTTCATGCTATTATAATGTCTTTTGCTGAAATTATTTTCTATCTTTTTGATGGCTTACTGATATTTTGTTAATAGTGCCAATAAAGGTGCCCGACTCTTTAATTATGGTTGTCTGGTGCTTTATGTTTACGAACAATTAGTACTATGAGTTAGTGTGGGTTGTTTTCAGTCTAGCATATTTGATGTCTGGATATATCTTGTTTTTTTTAAATGTCTTCTTGTGCTATAATTGGCAATAGAAATTTACATACAAAAAGTGTTAGTAAAGAGAATTGTAAGTAACGCAGGTGGCAACAATGGAGGAGATACAGATGAATAATGAAGGAACTAAGGTAACATTCAAGAGCCTAGACACACCCAAGTAGCCACACTGTTATAGTTCCATCTGCAATCACTCAAGCTAGGGTTCCTGCTTCTGTTGAAAGAAGCCCTCCATTGTAAGTTCCACGAGAAAGCCTAGACGACATTACACGCGACAAGAGCGACAAGTTCACACCTTCAAGCACTTCTGCAATAAATTTAAATAGCATGTATGCCATCCATTTGTGGTAAACTCGGAGCTTATTTTTTACCATCATGTCCACATGAGCTCAATGGGACCGTTAATATGCTTATTTTCATATTTGAACTTACTTTTCTTCGAACATGTTGCTGTCGTAGGTTCCGACAATTATGTTTACTGGAAGCACAGTTAGCCCAAGACATGCAAGAAAGATGGCCACGCTATTGGTTGACCATATAAAGTAATACGCAGTGATGACACTTCCTTCAGCAAGCAATATTTCCATTGCATATTTAAGCATAAAATAAACAAATAGTTTCACCTTCACAGATAGTTTGAGTAACCTGTATGCTGATACAATTGAGGTGACAGGCTTGCTAGTTTTCTCACCAGAATCTTCCTACCTTGTTTTCAATTTATCATGTTTTCAATATCCAGATTTGTCTATGTATATATATTTACTTTGTATTTCTCTGTTTAGTTTTGTTGTTTTGTTATTTGTATTTACATTGTATTTCTCTGTTTTTAAGTTCTGGTTTTGAAGTATTTTTCTTGTTTCCTACCTTGTTTTTACAGATGGATCAAATCCAAAATCTGATAGCTTTTCCCAGGTAAGCCTCTTCTCATTTTTGTTAACTTAAAATACACATATTTCTTTGTCTGAGTACTATAATTAAATACAATAGATTTTGAGAATTTTCTCCCTTTTTACTTTGGATAGACAGTGAATGAAGAGAAGGCAAGATTGAGATCGTATATAGGTTCAAGGCTGCCAAGGTGTGAGAGGAGATGTAACTCATGCAGAGTTGCGAAGCCATTCATAGGCAAATTTGGATACTTTTTATTTTAATTTGTAAAAATATATGGGGTATTATTTTAATTTGTAAAACATAGACTTTTTAATGTAATTTATAATAATTATAGGTCATTACTGTAATTTATGTGAAGTTTTCCTTTGATTGTAATAAATAAAAAGTTTTGGTGTTTATTGTAATTTTTAGAAAATTTTGGTATTTATTGTAATTTACATTAAGTTTGATATTTATTATAATTTACAAAAAAATTGGTATTTATTATAATTTATAAAAAGTTTAGTCTTGATTGTGATATTTAAAAAATAGACTTTTATTGTAATTTATATAAATATTTATACTTTTATGGTAATTTTATAATTTTAAATAAAAATTGTGACGATATTTTATTGTCATTTATATAGTAAAATTTTATTATTATTAGTGACAATATAAATGATTGGTGACAAATTTTATTTATTTAGTGACATAACAAAACGTCATTTTATATAAATAATAAAGTTAGATTATACATAAACGTCACTATATGTTTAAAAATATGTGATAAAAACATACGACGTCACGTTAGACATTCAGTGACACCTAAGGTGACGATTGTCGTGACATCAGATTTTATGTCACAGAATACAAATAGTGACATAAATGTAAGTTTTAATGACAATATTTTCAATGTCAAAATAAACAAATTTGTTGTAGTGACTAGCTCGTGGAGGCTTGACCAGAGAAGGATAGTTCACCGAATCTTCTACGTCATGCAACATCTCATCAAAAACAGACTGAGGCTGAGGCGATGGAGCAGGATGTGCTCCGGATGAACTACTGACTTGTTTTCCTTTCTCTTTCTTTGCCACGTGTTGATGACTTTTTCTTATCCCGGTTTTTGAAGATATTTAAGAACGATGATAGAGGATAAAGGGATACCACATTCAAGCGAGATATAGATACTGACTTTGACAACAAGATGGCTACGAAGACACCCATAAATGAGAGACTCAATTCGCTTGGATAAGATATTGTTCATTGTATCTAAAGCTCACTAAAGATAATCTGAGCAAAGTTAATTTGCTTTTGTTACAAAAACAATGTATCCACTAAATATCATGTAATTTGCTAACATTAGCGGTGCTGGTATGGCCGACGCTTTTTTGCGGCGTTTTTGCTATCGCCGTGAGTGTTTTTAGCGACACTTAAAAATGCCGCTATAGGACTTAAAATGCCGCTAAAACTCTATTTTGCTGTAGTGTTGGTGTAATTGGTTCTGAAAACCATGCTTGGATATGAATTTCATGATTAGGGTTCATGAAGGGGATGTTGAATTATGATGAACTTAAGGTTGATTTTTATGCTATTGTTGTAGATTAATTTCCAAGCATGTGTGATGATCCAAATCATCTAGAATTGCAAATATGAGTTTCGGCCATGGCTATGGTTATTAGATAATGGTTGAATTTGGATTGAATTTGATGTGATAATGATTGGAATTGCATGAATTTGATCATATGATCTTGAATTCATGCTTGAAATTGAATGAAATCATTGCCCTATTGATTTATGTAGGTTCGGCCAAGGGGTTAATAATTAGGGAAAAATATTCAAATTTCCTAAGATCTAGAATTGTGTTAGAATGGTTCTACATGTTTTAGAAATTGATTTCGAACAATTTTGAACATTGTGTAGTAAAGGGACTATTTCACAAGTTTTTGGAATTATGGGTGTTTAATTATGAGTGTTCAATGCTGGAAATTAATGTTTGAATGATGAATTTTAAATTGGAATGTTGAATTGAGGCCAAATCCCAAATTTGGTAAAGTTTGGGGACTAACTCAAAAAAATGGGAAAGTTTGATGATTGAATGATAATTAGGGAAATGTGAAGGTATTAGATTGAATATATTTTTACAATTATGGAATTTTGAGTATTAAATTTCAATTAAGTAAAATGGTGGAGGACCATTTTGAATTAATTGGAAAAATTGGTATAAATTCTAATAAAATTCATAAATGGTGATTTAAATGTAAAGTGTGTGAAATTGAGTGGCTTGGTGATGAAAAAGAATATATAAGGAATTGAAGTGTCATTTTTGGAAATGTTAAGATTTTTATTGAGTTGTGAAGTGATTTTTATATTGAATAAGTGTTGAATCTATTTTATGGATTTTTATTATTGATGATGTTGTCTAGACTGTGATAAATCTCGTGATCAAAGTGAATCGAAAGTGAAGGATAAAGTACAAGAATAAAAGGTTATCGTTGTTAAAGGTTAGATAGTGAGGCAAATAAGGTGAGTGCATTTTTCATTTAATTATACTGATTGATGAAGACTTGCGATAAGTCAACCTCAGATGATTTTTAAAGAAAGGTTTGAATCAAATCATGGAACATTTCCATAATGATTACTAAAATGTTTTATGATTTATTTTAGGGTATGAACTGCCCAGTATACCGTTTTTTATGAAATGACACTTGAATAAATTACTGGTTGGATATGTTGGATATACAAATGATATGATTTTATTATAAAGTCCATTGTATGTTGCATGGAGAGTCGTAAGTACAATTGACATGCCATGAGATGGAGTGATCACTGTTTACTGTTACTGATATAGTACATTTGTGTACATCACGTGTGGCACATATGGTGCGATTTATATGGGCACTTTCGAGTGTAAATTACTAATATATATGGGGCACTTACGAGTGCATATTACGCACACTCGACTGACTCACGTACCTTGCATTCTCGTTAAATATACACTTGGGGCTATGAATATGAAATGTGAAAGTATTGATTATGCGAACTGAATATGTGATTGAATGGAAAAGATTATTATATCGAATACTGTGATTTGGCATTTGTTGCTATATTGTTTTGAATTATCATGTTATTTCTATTCTTTATATCACATTGTTTTATTTATAGTGTCTCACTAAGTTATACTTAGCGTGTGATTGTTTTCACGCGTAAATAAAAGGATAAGCGTTATGAGTATTACGAGTATCACTAGGCAGAATCAGATCCATCGCCATTATCAGTATGAACATCTTCTGATGTCTCTTTTGACTTATTAGTGTCATGTATATTGTATATTGTGTTATAATGTCTAATTATCATAGTTTAACTTGTTTGTATAATATATTATATACTTATTATAAATATTATTAGGTAAAATTTTATTATACATGAATAGTAGTTAATAAGGTAGTTTTTAGGCCGTTTAAGTTATGATATGAAATATCATCGAACTGTTAAATTGCTTCTTGAAACTAAACTTGATTTGGGATGTTTAAATATTATATTTTGATTTTATACGATTATATTATTTTACTGAAAGGATTAAATTAGAAAAATTTTAAAGGAACAAATTTGTTTTGCTTTCCAACTGTATATTGTTTGTATATGTCGTGTGACATCTTTAACTCGTATTCAATGACATATACAGATTAAGGGTGTTACATATCAAAAACACGAAAAGTGGAGTACTTACCTTTGGATGGTCAAAACCACCAAGAAATAACAAGATGAAGGAAGCGCTTGTGGTGACCGAAGACATTTGCACTCTTACCGAGTTATAGGTTGATCTCAACATGCTCTTTTTCATTATCCTCCTCTATAAGATCTAACCCAAGGTCCTTAGCTATAGAGGTTGCATCAAACGTAATATATCGCCCCATAAGATAGGAGCGAATGCTAATGGTATAACAACGAGCCTCATCTCAAACACAAACGACATTGGAATAAAAGGCGTGAATAAGGGTTTGATACACAATTGATTTGGCCTTAAGGATTTTATCTAATTTCCAAGCTTTTGTTGAGGGAGGAATTTAAATTTTAGCTCTTCTATGACAGCCAAGGATGGAGTCTGCTCATTCATAATTGGGTAGGACTTAAAATGGCCAGTAAAGTGTTTTAGGAGGCCTACGGTACCTGATGCATTAACGTATGAGTTTCCAATGTATAGGTCACTCGGGTTTGGATTAAGATTCGGGTTAAGGGGTAGATTCTGAGTGGCTCGGGAAGAAGAACCGGGGCGTTTGTAAGTAATTTTGAAATCAGGATAAGAAGAACCTGCAAAAGTCAAACAATATATGTAAGTTATTCAATAATGTTCAACAATATTCAAGGTATTAGAGGAAATTTTATGGGCTTAAAAATAAAATAGTATGTGTATAATGTTAATGTTAAATATATATATAAACATACAAAGAAGCATATAAAGAAGCAAAATAATACATATATAGATTAAAAAAACTGTAAATAATATATATATGCGCGCATGCGACATTATAAGAAAGTACATATAAATGTATATGTTTAAAAACGTCATTTTCGTGAAGCTTTTTTGATGTCCAAAAGACCCAAAACTACATCGTTTTACTTAAAAATATTTATTATAATATTTGCATTTTGGGGATTTGAACTTCAAACCTTTAAAACAAAAGTTTAAGCTTAACCACTAAACCAACTTGAACTTTATACATTTTATAAACACAATACATATATCATGTCAAAACATGGTTCACTTCTTATTCTTCCTCAACTTCAGGCCTTAGAAACCGAACACCCATATCATTTTTAACACAGACTAAGTAAAAGTACAAAGCAAAACCCAAAGATGAGTTGCTGCAACGGTTTCACATTTCAAACTACTACTAAGTCAAGAATTACTAAAATTATCAAAAACGATATTGAACCTTGTATAATTGTACAACAATCTTCATTTTCCTTAATCTTCATTTTAAAAGATCTTTATATAAACAAAATGAGACTTACCAGCAATGAAAAATTAAATTTAGGTGAAAACGTATCCACTATTTTTCAATGTTACCTTCCACCAAAATTAAAGGATTAAGGTATGTTTGCTGTTCGCTTTTAAGAGCTCAAAAAACAAATGAGCCAATTGGCTCAGAACATAGGATGAATGGAATCACAGGGAAAACTACCATCTCAACCCAACATGAACCCACGAGAAAACGTTAGTGCCATCACCTTCA